GCAAGGTTCAGCATCCCAGCAAACCTAGATTACCTCAGTGGAGCAAATTGACAAAGAGTGATTTACAAGAGTAGAAGAATGTTCCTCCAACTTATAACAACACTAGTCTCTCTTACCAGTAGTTAAGTGTCATCAAGTCAAATAAGACTCATATTGACCCTGTGTGTTATAAACTGGACGCAGAAAGAAAACAAGGACATGAGAAAAATGAATTCTGAAAAAAGAAAAAAGCTGAGGTCTTCTCACAGCTTAGCAGGGAAAAGACACCCCCCCCATTTTTATTTTTTTTTTAAGATTAGGCGTGAATTTTGACCAGGTAACTTCTTTTTTAAAAAAATTTTATCCTATTATTTTTTGTGTGTGTTTACCATCAAATCGGATCTGACTGGTACAGGAGGAGATTGCCCCTCCTTCTCTAGCAGGGCATCTGGTGGATTCGAACTGTGAACCTCTGCGATTGCTAGGCCACCAGAGCTCTGAAAAGGCCCCTTTCTTAATCTCCTTATGGTTTTTATTTAGTTTAAGCCAGTCATTCTAAAACACAAAAAACTTAAATCTCCGGAGACTATTTTCTTTATTCTTAAGTGTTGCCAACATAACAATGGTTAAGCTTAATCTGTAAACTAAGACCAATGTTCAGACAAAGCATCCCCGGTGATGGGAAGCTGGGAGGGACCTGTTTGCAGAGGTCATCCAGTATCTCCTCCAAAGGACTGGGCAGGCGGATTTCTGTTTGCTGTGGGCGCTCAGGCCTGCCTGGACTCTAACCTCAGCTGTGGCCCCGGTTCTCACTATACAGGAGAATCCACACCTGTGAACAAAAAAACCTGCCTGAACACTGTTCTATACTTAACATCGTTTCTTTATGCCTAGTAAGCTACCTTCTTTTTTGTTGTTGTTGTCTTTGAACATTTTAATTTGCATTCTATTTAAATCAAACACCTAGATTCTGGCTGAGTGTTCCCAACAGAATGTCTACATTCAAATGCAGACAATCATCCAAAATACAGAGACTTTCAGAAACTCTCACACCATTGTTATGAGAGTCACTGTCAATCCAACCAGCTGAAGATCTTCACATCTTTTGCTGACCCTTTTACGCAACAAGTGACAAGTTACAGTATCCTTGTGGCTAAGGAACATTCCCGATGTCCTTTTCTTCTGGAGACATTTGTTTAGATTTGTTTTTTCTTCCAAAGTCTACGAGTACTCAATACCCTCTCCCAGCATCTCATTAGAAAGGAATTGATTGTTACTGGTTCTTCATTCATTGTTCAGTTTGCAGATGCCTGGGAAGCTTCACCCACCAATTTCTGAGTTTGTTAATCACATGTTTTAAGATTTTTAAAATTATTATTTTGTGTGTGTGTGTACTGTCAAATCAGAACTGACAGGTACAGGAGGAGATTGTCCCTCCTTTTCCCAGCAGAGCATCTGGTGGATTTGAACCGTGCACCTCTGGGATTGCAGTGCAACTTCTTGCCACTAGGCCACCAGAGCTCCCCTTAATAACATGATTTTAAGGAATGTTTTCAGAGATTTTGAGGTAGGCACAAGACAGGATTCAGATCTTTGTCCATAGGGTCTCATAACAGCACCTAACAACAGATCATAGATTACCAAGATTTTGTAAGATTTTCAGTTTGTACCCAAACTTGCAAAGATTGATTACCTTTCTACCAGCAACTCTAAGTCCATTTGAGTTAACCTTTGGCAGCATATGCACAGAGTACTCCCGCAAAGGATCTAGCTATTGTTGTTGTTGTTGTTGTTATGTGCCGTCGAGTCGCTTGCGACTCCTAGCGACCCTATGTACAACAGCCCTAAACTCTGCTCTGTCCTGTGCCAATCG